ACACACAGTGTTTAAATAGTGCCAAACTGCATTATTTCTATAGTGTAGATGCACCCTTAGTCTCAAAGGTGCTACAAGATCCCTTTGCATACTGATGTTCCACAGCTATGTCTCTGAATGTTTTAATTTAAAGTAATTAGAGAAATAATTGTCTTGTGATTTTTTTAAAAAAAGCATTTGTTTATATTTCTGCACAAAAATAAATCCTTCTGAGTCCCATGAACATTACTCCTTGCAGGTAGGTTTGTAGCCCTTGTTATCAGCATTTACCAGGCTTTTCTGTTACTAGGTTCCTTTCTCTCCCAGCTCGAGGTTTCCTACTCGGACTCTAAAACCCAGAGCACCAAGTAGGGGCAGTGGCAAAAAAAGAAAGCCCACTCTGAACAACAACGTGAAGCCACTTCCGCCCTTAGTTGAATGTTTCCGTTCCCTTATGGAAAATTCGCCGACCAACACGGAAGTGCGCCATTTTGAACGGAGAGCCTTGGAGGAGGAGTGTTCTTAGAGGTAAAAATGATGGGAAAGAAAGAAGAGATGGGTTTATGGTGGGTATATTGGCGCATTAGCTCAAAAAAGAGACATGGAAGAAAGAGGGATGGAGGAAAAGGGTCAGAAGAGGAGGATTTAATGAAAGGCAGGGTGGTGTAGTGGTTTCAGGCTTGGACTATGACTATGGAGATCTGGGTTCGAATCCTCACTCAGCCATGAAAACCCACTGGGTGACCTTGGGCCAAGTCACACGCTCTCAGCCTCAGGGGAAGCCATAGCAAACCTCTTCTGACCAAATCTTGCCAAGAAATCCCCAGGATAGATTCCTCTTAGGGTCACTTGAAGTCACACAACAACAAACAACAAGAGTTGTGTAATGATTTGAGTGTTGGATTAGGACTCTGGAGACCAAGATTTGAGTCCTAGCTCGGCCATAAAACGCACTGGGTGACCTTGGGCAAGTCATACTCTCTCAGCCTCAGGGGAAGACAGAACAAATCTCACTCAAGAAGACCCCATGATAGGTTCACCTTAGGGTGCCTATAAGTGGGAAACAACTAGAAACAACTAAACAACAAGAGTGAAGACCTAGGATTAATTAGGAGAGACTACATTCCTAATTGGCAGAGCTCTAAAAAGTCCTTTGGAGGAGGTATTACCAACTCCCAGGATCCCCCTCGCGCTGCATCTACACTGCAGAAATAATCCAGTATGGGGGGTTGCAGACTGCCAGAAATAGTGCAAATTGAGTCCACTTTAAGGGTTAGGGAATCATGGGAACTGTATTTTATTGTGGCACCAGAGCTCTCTGACAGAGAAGGCTCAATGTCTCAAGAAAAAAAACACCAATTCCCATGATTCCCTAGCACTAACCTTAACCCTAAAAGTGGACTCAATTTGCACTATTTCTGGCAGTCTGCAACCCCCCTATGACACTGCTTTTACTGCCATGGCTCAATGCTATGGGATTCTGGGATTTGTAGTTTTGTGAGCCATTTTATATTTCTCTGTCAGAGAGCTCTGGTACCACAATAAACTACAAGTCCCAAGGTTCCATAGCATGTCGCCACAGTAGTTAAAAGCGGTGTCAAACTGCATTAATTCTGCAGTGTGGCAGTAGCCCCCATGCTGATGGTGTGTGTGTATGTAATGTTTTCTGAGCTAAGGCCCCCAAAAGGTAAATGTTCCCAGCTTGGGAAGTGTTGTTGAAGCAACTCATTGGGTGTAGCAACAAACCAAAGGAAACACCAAATCTGTAAATTACAGACACATTTACTAAGGTTAGAATAATTTAATAAGATTAAAAGCTTTATTATCAATTTAGAGCAAATTAGTTCTACTCACTTGGGCTGCATCCGCACTACAGAAATAACCCAGTTTGACACCACTTTAACTGCCATGGCTCAATGGTATGGGATTCTGGGAATTGTAGCTTGTTGAGGCACCAGAGCTCTCTGTTAGAAAAGACTAAATGTCTCACAAAACTACAGTTCTCACAATTCCATTGCATTGAGCTATGGCAGTTAAAGTGGTGTCAACCTGGATTATTTCTGCAGTGTGGATGCAGCCTTAGAAGCACCATGTGCAGGTTGAAGATGCTGTGAGGAAATTACTGAATACAGAGACAGGCAGGGGCTACCAGAAAAGCCCCAAAGTGCTCCCCCACCAGGCACAAATTAACCCTTGGTATTCAGGGATACTTGCTGCCTAAGTCCTCCAAAGGAAAGTCAATTGGGCAGTGCTCCTGTTTCAAAGCTCTACATCACCCTATTACTGTTTTGAAAGGAGGGCACGTTGGGCTAATATTTTTGGTCGACAAGAGATGGAAGCGGAATAGTAGATTTTGATAATGGCACACCTTACTGTATAGCTCATAACCTGAGCACTAAAATTGGGACAGAAGCATAAGTAAAAATAAGTGTGTAGAGAGATTTTGTAGCATCTTTGAGACTAACCGAAAGAAAGAAGTTGTTGGCACTTAAAAATAAGTGGTGTGGATTCCAGACATGGGGGAAGAAACTGGTGGGAGTATTGTCAGAATAGTTCTGGCATGGTAGAAGGCTGATCAGAATTCGTGGGAGGAATTGGCACTGATCTTGTATCATCTTTCCTCCAGTCTCTGTCCGTCAATACCCAGCCCTTTGAACATATGCCCACTCCGATGGCATCAAAGGCTCAACGTCGTCTGTGGCGCTATGTAGAATCTGGCCGCCACCACAAGCTGCGCAGACTCCTGCGGCATCACAGCGAAACCCTGGACCTGGCTGAGACCTCGGGCCGCAAGAACCGAACTCTGCTGCACAAATCCTGCGCCCGAAAGGATCTCAAATCTGCCATCCTTTTGCTGAAGTATGGAGCAGACCCCAACCTTCTGGACCAAAATGGAGATACAGCTCTACATGTGGCTGCCCGGCAGGTTGCACGCAAGGGAGGCACTGGTAAAGAACAGATTATGAATCAGGCCAGGTCCTACCATTTAAGCAGAGTGGCTTGCTGATTTTGAATATTAAGAAAGGAGAGGAAAGGGTTAGCTATTTAACTTTATAGAATCATAGAGTTGGAAGAGACTGCAAAGAGCCAGCCAGTCTAACCCCATTCTGCCATGCAGGAAGACACAATCAAAGCACCCCTGACAGATGGCTATCCAGCCTCTGTTTGAAAACCTCCAAAGGAGGAGATTCCACCACACTGAGGCAGCATGTTTCACTGTAAACCGCTCTTACTGTCAGGATGTTCTTCCTAATGTGGAGGTGGAATCTCTTGTTATGGTATTTTTACTGCTAGGACTGAAGACAGATGCTTTTGGGATTTTCTGCCTGAGGCGCCCAGATAATTTTGAGTTGTCTGTATCTTCATGTGGGTAGATGGAGAATTTTATTTGCTATTCTGGATTAGAAAAATATGTTAGGGTGTTGACAGAATATTGATGGCATATCAGAAGGTTAAAAAACACCAAACAAATAGTTTTAACCAGTTGTGCTTTGAATGATGCTGTGCAGTTAACACAGAGACACACTAACTGTCCAATTTTCTCTAGAACTAGGACTGTATCATAGTTTGTGGTGGAGGATAGAATAAAAGCAGAAGGCAACTCTTCCCAACTTCCTGCCTGCTGCCACCCCTGCACCCACAAATACATTGTTCATTGATTTCCCCTGCTGGAATTTTATTTATTTATTTATTTAATTTATATCCTTCTTTTCTCCCAACACAGGGTCCAAGGCAGTGTATAACATTTTAAAAGCACAATACTAGTTAAAAATCTGTTAACACAAAAGTTAAAACACAGTTAAACTAGGGCTGCTGTCACAGTGAAGAAATAAAGCAGCTTGACACCACTTTAACTGCCATACCTCAGCGCGATGGAGTTCTTGGATTTGTAGTTTGGTGGGGCACCAGAACACTCTGACAGAGAAACTAAATATCTCATGAAACTACAAATCCCAGAATTCTATAGCATTGAGCCATGGCTGTTAAAGTAGTGTCAAACTGGTTTATTTCTGCAGTGTGTCAGCAGCCTAAGTATCTGTTAAAAAAAACCAGGTTAAAACTGCATTAAAAACAATTTAAAAACATTAAAGGACACTTTAAAACATAATAAAAACCACTACCCCCCTGCAATTAAAAGCTTTATATGCTGCATACACTAAAAGCCAAATAATAATAATAATAATAATAATAATAATAATAATAATAATAATAAATAATTTATATCCCACCTCTACAGACAGATCGAAGCATTTTAAAGGTTTTCTTAAATAAGAGTCTTTACCTGCTGGCAGAAAGATAGCAGGGAGAGTGCCAACCAGACTTCCCAGCCACCAAAAAGGCACTCTCTTGTGTCCTCACTAGACATGCCTTAGATCAGGGGTAGGCAACCTAAGGCCCGGGGGCCGGATGCAGCCCCCCGAGGCATTTGGGCCGGCCCGAGGCCGGTCCTGTCGCCGCCACTGCCGCCGCCACCTGCCATTATGATATTGATTATTGTTGTTATTACGTACTTGTTCTTGGGGTATTCTTGGCAAAATCTCCACAGGGGTTTTGCCATGGCTTTTCTGGGGCTGAGAGAGTGTGCATGCATATTTTTTAATTTTAAAAAATTTATTTATTTATTTATTTATTTATTTTTGGTGCTTCCGCCCCCCAATTGTCTGAGGGACAGCAACTTGGCCCCCAGCTCAAAAAGGTTGCCTCTCCCTGCCTTAGATGGTGGTGGGACCAAGAGAAAGCCTTTCCCTGCAGATTGTAAAGCACAAGCAAGTTCATATAGGGAGATACAGTTTTTCAAACATGCTTTGGATAAGAGATGAGATATACCATTTTTTTCAGGCTACTTGGCTTGTGGAAGCAACATGCAGAGGAATGCTAGAAGTGCCACTGTTGTGAGCAGGGGTGGGAATTATACAGCCCTCTATATGTTGAACTACAACTCCCAACATTTCTAACGATTGACTGTGCTGGCTGGGGTTGCTAGGAGTTGCAGTTCAACATTTGGAACATAATTTGCAACCCACCATAGTACTTGAGGCTGGTTGAATACCTTGGTTGTATTATTTATTTATAATAATAATAATAATAATAATAATAATAAAACTTTATTTATACCCCGCCTTTAGCCAGGGCTGTCAAGGCGGCTTACAAGTTAAAAAGAGTACACCCATACAAATCAGTCACAAATGCCCCTCCCCCTTAAAAATATATTAAATCATTAAACAGATTAAAATCTCATTTAAAACCAAATTAATAAAACATATAACACTAAGCTAAAGGCCCATTATGATTGTAACCTCGCCCCAGTGTACTGTTTCTTTTTTTCATCACCTTTATTCCTTGTAAAGGCCTAGAATTGTCACATTCTTTCACAGTAGTCTGTCTTGGGCTGCTGCCACATTGCAAAATCAATGCAGTTTGACACTGCTTTAACTGCCATGGCTCCATCCTATGGAATCTTAGGATTTGTAGTTTGTTGTGGCAGAGCTCTCTGACTGGGAAGACTAAATATCTCCTCAAACTACAAATCCTAGAATTCCATAGTGTTGAGCCGTGACAGTTAAAGCTAAATTAATTATGCAATGTAGATGCAGTCTAAATTGTCTACTTGACTAGTCACTAACAACATTGTTAATTACGTTGTTTTCCCCTCCACTCTTCTGTCCCAGTGTATGAAGACCTGTTTGTACCCTTGCGAAAACGTTGTCCTTCTGCCATGAGCGTCC